GTTAAGAAACACCCATCTATAGTGCACATACTCTATGACAAAGAAAAAGCGTATCTACCGTGACAAATGTGTTCCGTCATCCAGAAAAGGTTAAGAAGCACCCATCTCGAGTGCATATACTCTACGACAAAGCGGAAGCGTATCTATCTCTCGGAAAACCGAGATAATTAAAAGATCGTCGATTGAAAGGCACGGAAACTCGAGGTCTCATGCGAATCGATACTTCCTGTTCCCGGACTCTCTTGGCCGATCGGAACACCCCGTGATCCCGTGACACAGAGGCTCTTTGAGTCCTCTGCAGTCGGCTTTTACGAGCGTTACATTCGCGAAATTACGGCGGGGGGAGGGGGGGGTTACGAAGAAAAAGCTTGCGAAATTACGCGCATCTGCCGTGAAATCCCTCTTTATGTACGCGAAGGGAGAATACGCCTGGGCCAGCGCCATAATTTCCGTTCTCCTCACGGCTATGCGAATTCACGCTGAAGGTGAATTAAACGCTTCTGCAGGGACAACGTAGCGTTAGGTGATACGATATTATGGCTGAAATTGGGAGCTCACCTTGGGGAATGTGATTTCGGTTAACGCGCGTTGTCTGCTGCATCTATTTTTGCGACTTCCTCTTTGCAAAATGCGTACTCATGTAGGGATACTTTTGATTGGCAAATATAGGGAATAGATGTTCCGTCCTGGAGAGCCTATTCATAGCATAACTCTTATTTTAATCTTCGATAATTCTAAAGATTTTATTATTTTGTATTACGACTGTTACGCCCAGGGTTAGACATGCCTCGACGCCCTCTCAGCAGATTAAATCATATATCTAAGTAGGTGGCGTCTCGGGGCCGGTGACTATAGTCACCTGTCGTGTGTAAATGGCATCTCGTGGCCGATGACTATAGTCGCCCGTGGCGTGCATGTGGCGCCTGCTAGCCGGTGACTATAGTCACCCGTCGTATGTAGGTGGCGCTTCGTAGCCGGTGATTATAGTCACCCGTCGTATATAGGTGGCATCTCGTGGCCGGGGACTATAGTCACCCGTGACGTGCATGTGGCGCCTCCTGGAGGGTGACTATAGTCACCCGTCGTATGTAGGTGGCGCTTCGTAGCCGGTGATTATAGTCACCCGTCGTATATAGGTGGCATCTCGTGGCCGGTGACTATAGTCACCCGTGACGTGCATGTGGCGCCTCCTGGAGGGTGACTATAGTCACCTATCGTGTGTAGATGGCATCTCGTGGCCGATGACTATAGTCGCCCGTGGCGTGCATGTGGCGCCTCCTAGCCGATGACTATAGTCACCCGTCGTGTGTAGGTTGCATCTCGTGACCGGTGACTATAGTCACCCGTCTCATGCATGTGGCGCCTCCTGGCCGGTGACTATAGTCACCCGTCGTGTGTAACCCGTCGTGTGTAGGTTGCATCTCGTGACCGGTGACTATAGTCACCCGTCTCATGCATGTGGCGCCTCCTGGCCGGTGACTATAGTCACCCGTCGTGTGTAAATGGCGTCTCGTGGCCTGTGCCTATAGTCACCCCTAGTAGCGAAAGGATTAATATTGGACAACTGTTTCATAGTGAGTGAATGAAACATAGTGAGTAGAGAATCGTGTGTTTGAGAGTTAGAGTTGAGAGAAACCTAGTGTAATATTTTAATTTAAATGAATCTGTTTTGCCATGAAAAAGGAGTCGTTTATTAGACGCTCAGATCTGTGTCAGCATAGGATTAATCTAGCATTAATCCTACAATAATAATATAGTTATTGTAATGAAAACGGATAATGGAAATAATGGTAGTTTATCTGATTTTAAAGAAAACGAGGATCCCTGTCGTGTCATTTCGTCTTAATCCTCGTTTAGGTATGACAGCTGACTCAACTGGTATCTCTATAACCAGTTCTGATAAAACTCGAAGCGTATCTTGGTTTTCCGTTTCACTGAATTACGATTGACCTGTGACCCGTGTTATGATTGCACGGCTGATAACCCGCAATACTCGATCTTAACATCGCTGGCTGATAGTTTCAGCTCACGAAAATTGCGTGTCCCGCAATAGAACGTAGCGAGCTTTCCGGTCGACGAAGCACACTTGTCTCGACAGTTTCTGTTTACATCCAAAGATTTGGAAAACGCGAATACTCTGCGATGAATTGTAGCATTTTTTACGCTGAACGATTCCACGAATAAAAGCGATTGAAAAGCGTGGAACAGAATTTTTCGATATTGAAAGACTGGCTATTCGGGGAAATTGAATTTGATGATTCTTAGAGTGAAGAGTAAAAACAAAACACCCGATGATTTTATCAATGAATCGTGTTCTTTGTTATTTGCTCTATCTCAAATTTGATTAAGTGTGCTATAAATTGAAACTCTATCGTTTTTCTCCAATTTCGATTATTTTTCTTTACTGTTTTTAAAAGGAATCATTAATTGCAGTGTGCAATGAATTGTCAATTAGTATATACATATATTTTCAGAAAAATTTCTCAAGCTTCTGTAACTTTCATTTTATTAAAAACATTATATTATAATTAATTATATTAATTATTATTATATATTGTTATAATATTAATTTTATAATATTAATTATATTGTATTAATTAATTATAAAAATTATATTGAATTAATAAAAACAACTATATTTTTCATTTAAATAACAGCATATTGCCATTTTAAAAACAAAAAGAAATATAAATATACAATAAAATAATCAAAATAGACAGAAACCACTAAATTTTTCATTTCATTAACAACATATAGCTTGCTTAAAATATATATATATTTATATAAAGAAAAAGGGAGAGAGAGAGAGAGATAAGATTAACAGAATTAACAAAAGCCACCAAATTTCCAATTTCATTAATAACATACAGCTTACTTAAAAGAAGAAAAAATATATATACAGAAGAAAGTAATCAGAATTAATAAAAATCACTATATCTTTCGTTTCGTTAACAAGATATAGCCTCCTTACAAAAATAAATATATTTTTTACCAATATTTTGACCAAATTAACCGAATTAGTAGCAATCACCACATTTTTCATTTCATTATAACATACAGGTTATTGAAGAAAGGAAAAAATAATCAAAATTAATAAAAATCTCTAAATTTTGCATTTCATTAACAACATAGAGCCTCCTTGAAAAAGAGAAAACATACATATATATAGAACAAAATAATTAAAATTGATAAAAACTATCAAAGTAAACATACAGTTTGAAAAGGAAAAACTAATCAAAATTGTTTTGAAAAAAGGAAAAAATAATCAAAATTAATAAAAATCTCTAAATTTTCCATTTCATTAACAATATAGAGTCTCCTTAAAAAGCAGAAAACACATGCATATACGCAGAACAAAATAATGAAAATAAAAACTACCGAAGTAAACATTCACGAAATTTACAAATCTCACGGTGTGACTCAATTCAATCCCTGTTTCACCGTTGGCTCTTCATAATTCGGAATGGGAAAAAGACCCGTATCCAATTAAAACAGCGAATTCTCGAAAACATCCGCGGAAACATTTTCCAAACGTGACGTGTATCCCCATCCGGGAAGACTCGGCTTAATACGCGATAACGTTTGCGTGTCCGGCTGTTGTTTAATTTTCATAAATTACCGAACGTCAAACGCGCCTGACGGGATCAGTTTGAATGGAGCGTCGCGGCGACACGTAAAGAGCATTATTCTATACATTGATCACACCCATAGATTCCACGGGAATATTTTTCCATTTAAACCACGCTAATTAATTCAAGCATCAAACGTCAGTTTCGCGGAAACGCCGCGAGATATTCGCGAAATTTTCTGTTAATTCCGGTTCGCGCTCGAAATGGAACGATGGCCGCATGCGTGGCCATTGTGATCGAGCACGGTGCTTCGTGCACTTTTATCGGTATTCGCCGTTGCAAAAGATTTCGAGAGAGCGCGGTTTTGCAAATTAAATCAAACGATCAAACGTGACTGGCGGGAGGGGGGGCGGGGGGGCAACCGGTGACGGATGCGGCTTTTGAAGTGTTCCGCGGGATTTTGGTTAAACAATGTTTTCGCTAACGATGATCCGATGTTTTATCCACGTTGCAGAGAAAAACCGTTTTCATTCTGGGAAAAATTATTTCCCTCCCTTTCTCTTCGATATCGATTTTTACGGTTGGGATTTGTAATTTCGGAAAATGGCCTCTTTGATTCTTTGCGCTCGAGTTGCCATTTTGAAAAAATTCTAAAGATCGAGATTAATTAATACGTTGGATTTAAAGTAACGCGAAGTTTCGTGAGATACCGAAATCAAATGATTCTACGCGATTGCTTATTTACTATACTAAAAAATGGCGATGACTTTATGGCAATTTCGAATTTCTATTTTTCTGTGACGAAAAAATGCCAAGTGCAAGGACTGATGTGATCCTATTATGTATTATATACAAATTGTAGTTATAAATAATAATAATAATAAACTGTGTATATCCTAGTTATAATATATATAGGTTAGGTTATATATTATTAGTATATGGTTTATGGGAGAAATAATGGAGTAATTTAATAATTGCTGATTTTAATATAAAGAAATAATTCAATCGAGATACATTAAAATTTCAGAAATATTTGTAATAGGTGTATAGGTATTTTATATGCAAAGTAAAATTTGTTGAGAAAAATTGTTTCCTATATAAAATGCAATATTGGGACTTGATAATTTATAAATATAATTAATGGTAGATTAATAAAATGTAATATTAGTTTTATAGTAAATGTATTATAGTATATTAATACCTTATAAATATTATTTATCACGTTGATACAAGCAGGAAGATCTAATCGAATACAGAGATCACCATAGTGTCTGTTTTTCTAGAAGGGAAACTCGATGTTGCGAAGACTAACGCCATCTGTTGATTCCCTAGGATATAACTATTTTCGAATAATATAATTATACTAATATTATTAGTAAAGTTTTATTATAAGAACATATTTATAGTAATTAGAGGAGGAGAAAGTCGAAAATGAGAAACAAGGGAGTAGTTAACGCGCTCATTGGTTTTGTGTCGACATCTAGCGGCGTTGGAGTAGGTTACGGCGGGAGAATTTGAATACGTTCGTGAATAATAAAATAATGCTTTATAGCAGAAACAAAGATAATGTTATATAGTGAAGTAAAATAGTGTAAATTTATATATAATTGTATAATTACGCTAATATTAATGATTCTTTCTTTTCTGGTTACAGCAAAGTTGGATGGAGTGAAAACCTATATGAGGATGAGGAGAGTGCCAAAGCATCTTCAGGTGAAGGTGATCAAATGGTTCGACTACCTTTGGCTGACGCAAAAATGTTCGGACGAAGAAAAAGCTGTCAGCTGTCTTCCCGGTAAGCTTTATCTGAATCCATTTCTAAAAAAGCTCGTTCTTGCTTAGATCAGAAGCTTGCATTTTTGGAAAGAAAATGACGAAGAAAATAATATCTAATGAATAATCATACTATATTCGCATTAAATAAATGATAACGTTATTTTTTCTACTAGAAAACAAATTTTTGGAAATAATAAATAAAACGTAGTAGTTAAAGTGAATGAAGTTAGGTTTAAGTGACGGCCTTAGAAAAGTGAACATTTAAATTTGAATATCGATAAGTTCCTAAGTGAAAATACTTGTTTAATTGCTTAGATAAACAATATTTTATTCGATATAAAGAATTATACTTCTCACTTGACACTCGAATGACTAAATGATTTCCTTCTCATTTTCTTCACGTCACACTAATACTTTCGTGGATAACGCGTTGATTGATGAGCAGATACTTCCAAACATTTCTGATAGATGTGAAAATATTGACGAAATTATGAAGGAATGCTAGGAAAATAAACGAAAAATTAAATAATCAATAGAAATGAAAGACATTAATAAAAATACTATACTACAGGCATATAATTAATATATTCTGTAATACAGAAGTACAGTATTATGTGATATATTAAAGGGTGTCTCAAAATTTACGCAGTAGTAATTTTAACTAGTATAATTTATAATTTATTATTATTTATTACTATTTTATGAAGTAAGTAATTTATTACTATTTATTACTATTTTAGGAAGAAAATTTTAGTAGAAAACAAACAAACTTTATTTTTGAAGTATTGCTCAACAGTGAAGACGCGTTGTTCTTTCGTGTAACGCTCCATTTTTAATAACTCTGAACCGTCAGCTGTCACGCCATCTTTTTCTTTTTGTTGGCAACACTTCACCGCACAAATGGCGCAAAATTCAAATCTGAAGTGAATTTTCGGACATCCTTTATAATACAATATAACATGATATAGTTTACATCTGTAAGTGAAAATTTAATACTAATGTTGTATTCAAAATAAAACTAGTAATATTATTAGCATTATTGTGTACTAATATGTGGTACTATATAATACTATATAATACTATATTGTACTAACATAGTAATAATAATATTAGTAATATGAATATAATATAAATAACAGTATTATTAAATAAATTAATAGATAATATTGTTATATGCATAGTACTTAACTAAGGTATAATAACATACGATATTTTCATGACACAAAATATTTAAAAACATTTTATTACAGATTTCACATGCATAAATGTTCCTTCGAAGTATATCAAATTCTCTATTTCTCTAATTTTTTCCACAGCATTTAGCATCCTACGCGATGCTTTTCTGCCTCGATAATTTCTTCTTCCTTCCCCCTTATTTCTCCTCATACATGTGAATCGCGTATCAAGGTTTATTCCAGCGGATTTATTTTACTCGTCGTTGCACCAGTCTTATTTCGTCTCGCATTAATGTGACGCACGTAGAAATTTTCCTTCGTACTTTTATTTGGCCAGGGGGATGCACGTAACGTCGGTGAAACATTTTCCTGAGACAATTTGTCGCTGAATTCCGATCTCATATGTGCATTTCGAGCATTAACCGTAGCAAACAGCTCGTTTAAGTACGTTAGTAAGATGACATAATTTAGCACGATAATGTAATATAAAAATAACGTATTATAAAAATTAAAGTATCAAGAATTAAAGTATTATTAAAATTGGTATGAAAACGATTGAAGAATAATTAAAATTGGAAACGAAAATGATTAAAATGTAACTAAGTCTAGAAATAAAAATAGGAAATAATTAAGATTAAAAATGCAAATAATTATGAATGAGGATAGAAATCAGAATGAAAGAATAATCAAAATTTAATACAAATACAAATCGGAGAATAATTCCAATTAGAAAAATTGAAAAATAATTAAGATTGGTAACAGAAAATTGAAAAATAATTGCAGTTCGAAATAAAAATTGAAACACGATTGAAATTGGAAATTAAAATTCAAGAATAATTAAGATCGCTTCCAAAAAATTGAAAAATAATTGAAATTAGAAATAAAAATTTAGGAATACTTAAAATTCGAAATAAAAGTTGAAAAATAATTGAAATTGGAAATAAAATTCAAGAATAATTAAGATTGAGTAAAAAACGTTGAAAAATAATTGAAATTGCAAATAAATATTAAGGAATACTTAAAATTCGAAATCAAAATTGAAAAATAATTAAAATTGGGAATGAAATTCAAGAATAATTAAAACTGGGTCCAAAACGTTAAAAAATGATTGAAATTGAAAATAAATATTAAGAAATACTTAAAATTCGAAATAAAAATTGTAAAATAATTAAAATTGGAAATAAAACAAGAATAATTAAGGTTAGGTCCAGAAGATTGAAAAATAATTGAAATTGTAAATAAAAATTAAGGAATAATTAAAATTCGAAATAAAAGTTAAAAAATAATTGAAACTAGGAACAGAAATTGAAAAATAATTGAAACTGGAAATAGAAACAATAAAGAAATAATTAAGATTAAAGGATGAAGACAACGCAGAAAGAAATAAAATTTAAAAGGAGAGATAAATTCATCCAGGTCCCTCGAAAAACCTTGCCCGATCTCTGAAGTCTAAATCCTGTCATCCCAAATCGTGCGAGTCGAAACAAGAGCCTGTCCAACTCTGAAATTAATCTTATCACATAACATTGCAGACAAGCTGAAGGCCGAAATCGCGATAAACGTTCACCTGGACACGTTGCGGAGGGTGGAGATCTTCCAGAACACGGAGGCTGGCTTCCTGTGCGAGCTGGTGCTAAGACTGCGACCCGTACTTTTCTCACCTGGCGACTACATCTGTCGCAAAGGTAACCTGCAGCTTCCGCGCCTCCGGATTTCCTCCCTTCCTCTTCCGTTCCTCCATCTTTCCTTCTTTTTTCTCCATCTTACACATCACGACACGTTTTTCCTAGACACGACGCAAACGAGCAGCTGGAACCCTGCCAATGGATGTACCCTAGCTGGCAGAGCTTCCACAAGCGATTGCCTACCCTTTCCACTTGGCCCCGTTGCCAATAGCGTACCCAGAAGGCGCAGTTATGAACGAAATACTTTATTCGCCAAGATAACTAGCCCTGGACCAGATCGAGGGAATCACTGGTGGCCGGATGACTTATTAAAAATTTTCCATGCTAAGCGTCCCCTCGGAACTTTATCTTCTCGGACGTTCCTCTCGGGGACCAAGCAAACGAGGTTCGGGGTTAACGCGAAGAAACGTGTGTTCGATAACAGGACGCGATTATCTGCATCTATCTTGGACCCCCCTCTGCTCTTTGTCGTTAATGAGCGTGATAAGCACGACTTTTAGGTTGGAGTTCAGACTTAAATTGCGAGAAAGTGGTAATGAGTTTGGGTAGGTAGTTTAGGCAATTTGATTTTCGGTCTGACTTGGTGATTTGGTTAAATTTATGATGAGAGAGAATGAAGAGAAGAGTGGAAATGTAAACTGATTTTGTTAATTTGTGTTTTGAGATACTTTGGGCTACCTTGTGCAAGGTTTTTTCGTGTTATTCGTTCCACTGTCTAGGTGATGACTGGCGTTTGTGAATGATAGAAATTGATTTTATATGGAAGGGGTTGATTGTAGAATCTATATTGGTTGGATCTCGTTTATCCTTTTTGATGAGTATATTATGAGTCTTTCAGGTCTTGAAGCATTTTCTTCAGCATCGTGTGTAATGATTCGAATTCTAATTCTTTTGGTGTAGGTAAGATTCTGTGTCTTCTAAGTACTCCCTTCGAGATGATGTTTTGAACTACAAAAAAGAAGAAAGGGACAGAAAAGGAATCATTATAAAAATCCAACACCATCGAACAGAAACCTAAATACATATCAGAAACAGAAATAATAGGAATAAAATTTGACATAAAATATTCAAGCTTTTAACCTCAAAAAGTGAACAATTCCAAATAGAATGGATTTGTTACGGAATAATTAACATCATCGAACAAAAACCTCAAAAGCACATAACAAAAAGAACAAGTCAAGAATTTGAAACAAATAATTCATATCATTAAACATAGATCCTAAATCGCAAAAAGGAAGAAAATAAGAGTAACCAGCACCATAGGATAAAAATCCTGAAGCACATGACAAAAGGAACTAGGAAAAAATTTGATACGAATAATCCACATCATCGAATATAAAAACGCCAAACCATAAAAAGAAAGAAAGGTGAAAATCAGAGTATCCAGCGCCATAGGATAATCTCAAAACAGATATCAAAAAGAACGAAGAAAAAATTTGATACAAATAATCCACATCATGAAACGTAAATCTTAAATCGCAAAAAAGAAGAAAATAAGAGTAACCAACATCATGGAATAAAAACCCTAAAGCACGTAACAAACGGACCAAGAATGAATTGGATACAAAGAATTCACATCATCCAATGTAAAAACTCTAGACCACAAAAAGAAAAAGAAAGATTAAAATAAGGGTAACCAAGTGCATAAAACAAAAGCCCCAAAGCACATAGCAAAAAGAACTAGGAAAAAATTTAACACTAATGATCCACATCATCGAATGTAAAAACCCCAATCCATAAAAAGAAAGAAAGGTAAAAATAAGAGTAACCAACATCATAGAATAAAAATCGCAAAGCAGACAACAAAAGAACTAGGAAAAAATTTTATACGAATAATCCGCGTTACCAAACGTAAATCCTAAATCGCAAAAAGGAAAATAAGAGTTAACCAACACCATTAAACAAAAATCCCCAAGCACGTAACTAAAGAACTAGGAAGAAATTTGATACGAATAATCCACATTATGAAATGTAAAAATCCCAAACCACAAAAAGAAAGAAAGGTAAAAGTAAGAGTAACCAACACCACAAGATAAAAATCCCAAAGCACATAAAAAGAACTAGGAAAAAATTTAACACGAATAATCCGCGTCGTCAAATGTAAATCCTAAATCGCAAAAAGGAAAATAAGAGTAACCAACAGCATCAAACAAAAGCCCCAAAGCACATCCATCCACAATCCACATCATCAAATGTAAAAACCCCATAATACATAACAAAAATAACCAGAAAAATATTTGATAGAAAATATGCAAATCATGAGACATAAATCGGAAATCGGAAAATGGAAGAGAAGGAAGAAAGATCGGAAAGGATATATCACGAAGAAACGTGTCTAAGCGAATGAAATCGTGGATTTAATTAAAAGCAACCAAGCGTGGAATAGTTTTCGTTGGATACGTCAGCGATCGGTCAGTATTTCTTCGGTGGCTGGCGCGAACGAACGTGAGCAGCCAGGCAAATAATTTTCCCTCCCTCGGGGTTAAGAACGGTACCGAGGGACAGAGAGGGCGCGACGTGGATGCTGCAAGCGGACAGAGAAGGAAGCCATCGTCTTCCTTCCCTGTAGTCTCTTCATCGCCGTGGAAACGACTGCGGCATGACCGTTGGAACGCGGCGGACGCCATTTCCTACCGCGCTAGATGCTGCTGTCTGATGGCCGACCCTACTTCGAGTGCATCACTGCCGCGTAGTTGGCGTCAGCCGAGTTGAGCCCGACTTATGACTGCCCGTTACTACTTTAACCCGCCAACGCTGACTTTGTCGTGGCTTCCTGGAAACAAATCGCATCTCGCCGATGGCTCTCCGAAGGAGTTTCCTCTTTGCTATTCCGTTTGACTATCGACTGTTATCCCAATTAAAGTGTCTTCCGAAAGTCATCACTTTTGACTTTGTCGCGGTCTTCTGCAAACAAATCGCATCTCGCCGATGGCTCTCCAGAGATGGACTTTCTCCTTTGCTGTTCCGTTTGACTTCTATTGTGTATGTAGAGCGTCTCAGACGCGGTGTTCTGCTCTTACATAACCTGGACGATTGGCCTGTAACCTGGAGACATTGGATGCGAAACCAACACTCCATATCCAAACGGTACCACACCCAATCGTATAGAGTAATAGGACTATTTGACCCATAATCAGCCATAAGGAGTTTTTCTCTTTGATTGCTTCTGATCTGACTAAATATGTAGAAAATCCAGCAGTTGCATCACCATGGCCGACGTTGTCATTCATTCTTCCCCATTCAGTTGGAGGACCCATACCCACCCGGAGTATGGGTGTCACTATAGAGAGTTGAAGTAAGTGGATTTGATCGGAGTGGGCCCACTAGCTTCCCCAAAATTTGCTGCATCCTAGAACTATAGAGCTATAGGCAAACGTCAGCTTCATCGGGGGTTCTGAACACGTCAGTTGGTTTGATTCCATTTGATTATAGAGGGCGTCAGTCCATAAAAGCTGACAGTACACTTTTCGTTTAGATTATAGGAGAACTTTTCCAAGGTTGTTGTTGTCAGTTGGTTAGCAGGTATCCTCGGTGTTACGGTGGTGCTAGAAAGGATGAAAGTAAAAGGTAGAGATGCTGGTGGACTCATCAGTAAGGCTACCTAGCAGGCCCTGCCTTAGACAGGGATACTATTGGAAAGTTTTGAAAACTCTATATATAGGAAGCAGAGGGTTTACCGAGAACTTGCCAGAAAATCCTCAAACCTCCTTGAACCTGGAATCCATCCAGTGCCGAGGGTGAGAATGATACATTTAATGTATTTAAAAAGGTTCGAAAGCTAACTTTCTATACCATTATACTGTCTTTCTCAATGGACATTGGCTGCATCGTACTCGTAGACCGAACGGATAACTGCGAACCACACTCAACGTATTGAAATATTTTCCAAAAGTGATCACTCTTGACATTCTCATGACCTTCTGAAAACAAATCGCGATCATTCGTCATTTAAAATGTCGTTTGGTTCCCAACTGTTGCCCTAATTACTAATTTTTGCAAATGATTTAAATAATGTGTATTCAATATAGTTATAAGTGCGTCAGTGATTATGAAGTTTCATGTTTTACAGTAATTGACGAATATCTTGAACATACGTTTTCTGACGTGCATAGAAAATCAAGTTTCGACGCCACTTGATGTAGGTTTAATCCCCGGAAGTAGTGGAACGGATAAGGTGGCTTAGGATAAGGGTAGGATGACAAGATAGACATCAGAGGTGTCTAGAACACGGGAAAATGCATGCCTAGCTGCTAGTACCGTCATCTGCAAATAGGATGCACCCTATTATAAGCTAGGCTACTAATGAAATATTGGTACTGGAGATTTAGTTCCACGAAATCTGCCAAAATTCGCTAGATTATTTCCTCGGGCAGTAAATATTCCTATCGCATGATATTCTACGATGTACACACTTCCTGAGTCTTCTTCTGAAGAACAGTGTACAAAATGCTGAGACGAGGATAGTTGATCAAATATTAAGCACTCTGCAGTATCTTCCCTAACGATAAACTGGAGAGAACTCGAGGTAGCCTAAGTTTATAGCAGACTATAGCTGAACAGTATAGTCAAGCTTGAGAAAATCTTGGACGTGTTCCACAAATGTATCGATCCCCCAACCAACCATTAACTGAACACTCGATAGTGCAAATACTAAGACCAGTTGTAGACACGAATCCTAGATCAATTCAGATCGTAGCTTAAAGTCAAACCAAACTCTTGCATAGAAATATTCAAGTGCCGCGTGTTCTAATGCGTATCATCGACTCTGTGTAAAACTGATGATCATTTTCCTAGTGGTAGTCTTCTTTTACAAAATCTGCTTGGGTCTGTTTCAGGTGAGGTAGGCAAGGAGATGTACATAGTGAACAGAGGGCGACTGCAGGTGGTGACTGATAACGGGAAGACAGTCCTCGCTACCCTTAAGGCTGGTTCCTACTTCGGAGAGATCAGCATTCTCAATATGAGGACTGCAGGTAAAGAGTGCGGTAAATATTCCAAGCGGACCAGGGGCCCGTGAGCTGTCCCCCTCGTGTTTCACGATCACGTTTTCACGTTTCACGTTCTTACCACTCTGTGAGAGGGCAAGCCGTCGAGCCGGTATGAGCCGATCTAAAAACCGAACTTTCTAGTAACATCCTACCTTTTCTTCTACTCTTTTATACTTATTCTATCACTCACAATCCTCGTGTCGACTCCTCCCTGCGATCGACGTTCACGCAACGAATACCGAGAATTATTGCAAGGTACTGAAACTTCAATGAAGCGACTTTTGAACATATTTTTCAAGAGAATGTGCGAAGTCTAATACGAATAAGAAGAAAAGCCAGCGCTCATGATCGAAATATTACGAATACAAGGCAGTATCGATGAAAACGCACGCAGTGAGAAGAAAATGGTGGACCGCAATCGAAGCAAAATGGCCGACCGCGATGAAAATAAAATGGCCGATGGCATTAAAGCAAAATGACAACTCACAGTGGAAACGAAATGGCGGGTTTGGACGAAAACAAAATGATAGACCGAAATCGAAGCAAAATGGCCGACTGCGGTGAAAACAAAATGGCGGACCGCATCAGAGGAAAATGATTACTCGCAATGGATACGAAATGACGGGTCTCAATGGAACAAAAATGGTGGACCGTAATGGAAACGATATGACGAACTGGATTGAGAACAAAATGGTGGACACGGATATTCGAATTTTAAGATTCTCTTTATCCTTTCGCCCATTTTTTCCCGTATATGAACACAAACGTGATTGCACGATCTCTTTTGTGCACGCGTTTCTCTCGACAACTGAAAGAGATGGGAGAATAATAGCTGCGATTGGATTAGAAAAAAGTGGACGATACAAACTCGTTGCGAGATCGTCGATGCGTACTGAACAAGGCCCGTGACACGTATTGCCCTTTAGCCTTTGCCCCTCTGTTTTTATCGATTATTGTCTTCCAGCCGATAGACCAACACGACCTACTGGAACGTAATGGGTATCGTACGAAAATAAATGATATTTTACAACGCGGAGATCTCCGTGGCCTCGGCCATGATAAAAATACGAGCGTTCCAAAAATACGGGAGACAAGACCTTCGCGCGAGAGGATCAATCGTGGGACGTGTTGGTCCATCGATCCAACAGGACAGAGATATACTTTTTAGTCACACCTGTTTTTATCACGCTTTCGTAGTAACGTTAGTATACTTAGCTTAGAATTGATTCCATTTGGAAGTTGGACATGCTCCTTCAGCGTTATTTCGATTTGCTTCTGTGACATGCTGATACCTACGTATATTCCTCGTCATCTCTTTACGTTCTCTGTGTATAGGGGAAGGAAATATTTGCGGTGATTGTTTATTTCGATTAATACGTCCGATTGATATCGACGTTTGCGGAGTAGGTCCTGGAAGTGGTACTTGATTTTATTATCGACGTCAGTGGTCAAGTCATCGTGGCTTGGAGAGGAGAGTAGTACATTGTTGGATGGATGTTGTGTACTTCAGGTATAAGAACTGGATTTTGTGGCTTTTTCCTGGACATATTTTTCTCTCCATTAAGTTTGGCTTACAATGGATATATTTTTCTTTCCTTTTTAAAGGAGAGATGTACGAATGTGTGTCTGATGGTAGTTGATATTAAAAGACACGTTTTTCTGTTCTTTGCATGGGAAATATTTTAGAAAATTATATTTTTAAGCAATAGACTTAACCATATAAAACCTTAATATTAAATATAATAATTGAAATATTAATATTATAGTGTGATATAATTAAATAAAGTATAACATAATAAATAAATTGTAACATAATTAAATAATTAGTATAGGATCTAAATGTAGGTACAATACTTTTTGTTGCCATAAGTAATTCAGAAAATATTTACAGTAGCTATTAATCGTATTTATTATATCTATTTATAGTAATCTTATTTATATTATTTACTAATAGATAAAATAACGATACATAAAATTGACGAAGAAAAATATTGCATCGTTTAATCGTTTTCGTTGAATTTTGTTTAAACATAAATTGATTCTTATTCATATTTCTATGGTTTTGTAATAAATATATTTGGGTAATTATACAGGTAGATTCGTTTAAAACAAAACATATTTGCTACGGGGAAAAAGGATGAAGTACACGTATGTACGTATAATACCTGTATCTCTTGAGAAAAATATGGCACAGGAAAATGGAAGTCACTAAACAAGATAACATGTCCTTCCATCAATTTTCTTCATCCTCTCTTAGAAAAGAGCTATAGCCCGGCCCAGTTTCTCAAATTACCCTGTATAAAGAAGATGACAAAGAATCATAAATACGACATGTTAGATATGACATCGACATACGTTGAACATCACCCAAAATATGAAATATTTTTGGAAGCATTCATTTTACGATATCTTCACTTTTTCATTACTATAAAATAGTCAGGTTGGTCAGTTTATCTGCAAAGAGTTACAGTTTCTGAAAAGAAAATTTTCATTATGAATATCTGAATAAGTTATTACGAGTCATGATCTTTATTCAGATTCTAATGTAGTTATTACATTAATCAACCATATTTTTATATTATTATAATTTAATTATAATCATTGTGCTAGTAATTATGAAAATGATCTGAAAAAAATGATTTCATCGCTTATTTTTCGTTACTTACTTTATTTATACTGCAATAAAATAAAAATGTTTTCGATAATAGGAGAAATGGGGGAAAAGTGAATCGTTATATTAAATTTGTAGCTTTGAGTAATTAATTTTGTAATTTTAAATATATTTGAAATGCGAAATTTGTAATAATTTGGAACGAAATATACGTGACTCATGTTAGTTTCATATCACTCATGCAATTAATGATTAATATAATAATTATACAATTACAGTTAATGATTAATGTAATAATCTAGATATTATAATTAGTAATTAATATAATACTCTATTTATTATAATTAATCATTAATATTGTAATCTAATTATTATAATTACGAAATGAATATAATTTTCAGATTATTAATATAGATTGTAGATCATTGCTGGCTGACTTTGCGAACACAGCAAATATTTCCTTCACTCACGTTAATTTCTATATTCTCCTATTGTTTCCAGTGCACTGTTTATGTCTTACATTTCTCACAATTCTTCACCACCATTTCTTAACGTAGTATCTTAATAATTATTGTAACCTACTGCAACAATAGTTTAATCCCCGGAAGTAGTGGAACGGATAAGGTGGCTTAGGATAAGGGTAGGATGACAAGATAGACATCAGAGGTGTCTAGAACACGGGAAAATGCATGCCTAGCTGCTAGTACCGTCATCTGCAAATAGGATGCACCCTATTATAAGCTAGGCTACTAATGAAATATTGGTACTGGAGATTTAGTTCCACGAAATCTGCCAAAATTCGCTAGATTATTTCCTCGGGCAGTAAATATTCCTATCGCATGATATTCTACGATGTACACACTTCCTGAGTCTTCTTCTGAAGAACAGTGTACAAAATGCTGAGACGAGGATAGTTGATCAAATATTAAGCACTCTGCAGTATCTTCCCTAACGATAAACTGGAGAGAACTCGAGGTAGCCTAAGTTTATAGCAGACTATAGCTGAACAGTATAGTCAAGCTTGAGAAAATCTTGGACGTGTTCCACAAATGTATCGATCCCCCAACCAACCATTAACTGAACACTCGATAGTGCAAATACTAAGACCAGTTGTAGACACGAATCCTAGATCAATTCAGATCGTAGCTTAAAGTCAAACCAAACTCTTGCATAGAAATATTCAAGTGCCGCGTGTTCTAATGCGTATCATCGACTCTGTGTAAAACTGATGATCATTTTCCTAGTGGTAGTCTTCTTTTACAAAATCTGCTTGGGTCTGTTTCAGGTGAGGTAGGCAAGGAGATGTACATAGTGAACAGAGGGCGACTGCAGGTGGTGACTGATAACGGGAAGACAGTCCTCGCTACCCTTAAGGCTGGTTCCTACTTCGGAGAGATCAGCATTCTCAATATGAGGACTGCAGGTAAAGAGTGCGGTAAATATTCCAAGCGGACCAGGGGCCCGTGAGCTGTCCCCCTCGTGTTTCACGATCACGTTTTCACGTTTCACGTTCTTACCACTCTGTGAGAGGGCAAGCCGTCGAGCCGGTATGAGCCGATCTAAAAACCGAACTTTCTAGTAACATCCTACCTTTTCTTCTACTCTTTTATACTTATTCTATCACTCACAATCCTCGTGTCGACTCCTCCCTGCGATCGACGTTCACGCAACGAATACCGAGAATTATTGCAAGGTACTGAAACTTCAATGAAGCGACTTTTGAACATATTTTTCAAGAGAATGTGCGAAGTCTAATACGAATAAGAAGAAAAGCCAGCGCTCATGATCGAAATATTACGAATACAAGGCAGTATCGATGAAAACGCACGCAGTGAGAAGAAAATGGTGGACCGCAATCGAAGCAAAATGGCCGACCGCGATGAAAATAAAATGGCCGATGGCATTAAAGCAAAATGACAACTCACAGTGGAAACGAAATGGCGGGTTTGGACGAAAACAAAATGATAGACCGAAATCGAAGCAAAATGGCCGACTGCGGTGAAAACAAAATGGCGGACCGCATCAGAGGAAAATGATTACTCGCAATGGATACGAAATGACGGGTCTCAATGGAACAAAAATGGTGGACCGTAATGGAAACGATATGACGAACTGGATTGAGAACAAAATGGTGGACACGGATATTCGAATTTTAAGATTCTCTTTATCCTTTCGCCCATTTTTTCCCGTATATGAACACAAACGTGATTGCACGATCTCTTTTGTGCACGCGTTTCTCTCGACAACTGAAAGAGATGGGAGAATAATAGCTGCGATTGGATTAGAAAAAAGTGGACGATACAAACTCGTTGCGAGATCGTCGATGCGTACTGAACAAGGCCCGTGACACGTATTGCCCTTTAGCCTTTGCCCC